GGACGAATGGTCTGGGGTACAAACATGCGGGTGAGAGCGTTTTATCCTAACAATAATCGTTGGCGAGAATCTTGTTATAAACTAAAAGTAAATTGAGTGTAATTCAGTGACCGTGGTCCAACATTTCAAGCTGGGTCTCATGAAATAAACGCATCTCGCTGGGCAAAAATCTTGTCACCCGATTGTATGGGACACCCTGTGGTTAACATTACGATGTTTGTTACTCATCTAACTAGTTCCAGTTTCATGCAGTACTCGTTTTTTTTAAATAACATTTTTGTTTATTTACTTAGCAGTCACGTGATAACCATTAAATTCTATCCAAAATTACCCAGAATTTCAGAAAGTGTGAGATAAGAGGTTTCATAAAATATATGGTTTACTATAGTTCAGGACAATTCTTATATGAAAATATCAAGCCTAACTATAACATACTTGTTATGTCTACTACATCCTTAACCAGCCAAGATAAAACGATTTAACGCCTTCATGGAACGTGGAACGAACAACTGTCACATACTCAAAAGATGGACTTGTTTAGGATGTTTACTGAGGTTTTTTTGTAAAATACAAATCCTTAGTCAGCATAGAGACAATACAAGGTATTTGTTTCTTTTGATTCATAAAATTTTTAGTAGTACTGGACTCAAATTCGTAGGCAACCATCTGGTTCACTCTGGTCATTAAGCGTAATATATCCAGAGTGTCACCGTACTCGTTTAACACCTGACAAAGTGCCTGTATAAACCATGAACCATTAATAGGATTCCTCCATGAATAGAACCCTAGAAAAAACACAATATAGTCATCAGTATGAGAAGAGTTGATCAGTATTGTATGCTTTTTTCTACATAACAGTCATACCAAGGTCGCAAAGCAGTAGTGTGGTGTACAACGGTGTAAATATTGAGACAGTTTGTGACACATACTTGTTGTCAAGTCACATCAGTCAGCTACATAACACTGTTACCATGGTGATGTGACACTAAATAATTAACACGGTCATGAGAAATTAATATTAAAATGGTAAAGTGACAATATTGTTATGCTGGTGATGTTACCATAGTGATGAAACATTAATGTTACCATTGTGAATTTAAAGTGATACTAATTTTATCATGGTGATGTTTTAGTAGTAGTACTATACTTGGGGGCAGAGCTACGTCACAGAACGTTCTATCTTTTTAAAACGGACACCACTGTACTATGTATTTCTATGGGCTCTGCATAAGCTGCTGTGGAACGCCGGTTGAAGAGCCGATGAAAACAGCGAAAGTCAAGGAGACAGTACAAACTCAACTTTGAAGTAATCCTGAACAGCTGAATTTACACATGTTGCACATGTAGGGATAATCTTGTTACACTGTTCAGGGGAGTCTATCCCAAATTACCGTTTTCTGGGATTTTTGCTTTCACCATGATGGTTGCCAGGCGATGAAAATACCAGAATATCCGCCCCCAAGGATTGTATTCAATTCTATTATTTGAAAATTTCATTCAACATACTTTATGCAAATCTGGTTCATGGCTACTCAGTAACAACTTGGGATTAATGCGTGCCTCACCTGGTACAGTTGAGTAAACCAAAAGAAAATCTGCAGAAACAAGAATAAGCTGTTGTCGGCCTCCATCCATTTCATCTGCTTCATCATTCTTGAGAAGTATAGCTCCATCGTCAAATTTATCTCCACGACAAGCCTAGTAAAATATTTGATTGAATCACTAAATACGTTATATGTTTTAGAAACAGTTGTTAAAGCACGAAGATATATGGGTCTCATATAAACAAAGATGACGACTTTGACTGTTGCAGAGATCAACGAGTACAAACTGAGACGATTCCAAGATTTTAAGTCACCGGCTGTAATTAGTTGAAGTCACACTCAGGTCAAACCGCATTGGATTGGATTGTGGGAAAATCAATGTTTATCAACACAAATGTCCTATGGGCAAACTTTCGAAAGAATCAGGTAATATATTAGCGAGGAATTGGCATGACTATGAATGAAAACAAAATGGCTGCCAGTTGGCCATTTTTGTTCATTTATGAAGAGCTGTCCTGGACAGAATTCAGCAATTTTGAGGACCAAAATGGCTGCCAGTCAGCCAAACTTGATCAAATGGGAATAAGAATTGTTGTGTATATGTAAGTCATCATACATGTCTGCGTGTTAAATTTGAATGTGATCGGTCAAAGCAAGAGAAATAGCTCCATGCAGGCACAAGTAAAGATGACTTTGTCCATAATGGGGACTAAATAAAAAAAAATAAAAAATGAATTTGTCTCTCTCTCTCTCTCTCTCTCTCTATATATATATATATATATATACACAAAATAAAAATATTCATTTTATGTATTTAATATACCTGGATAAAAAAGAGCTTTGGTTTTCCAGCAAGAGTTGGACATTTATCCGCCTGAAAGAACTTTGTTATTTCATCAATCTCAAGTTTGCCGTCTGTTCCGTACACGATCCCATCATCACCGTGGCTGAGTATTACAAATGCTACGCAGTCACAGTCACTGAAGTCGTCACGTGACACTGTCGATCAAAAAACAAATAATATCTAGAAATTATTATAAAATCAAACAATGCATTACATGCATGGGACCCATAACAAACGGGACATAACAACCGTCAACTTCAAGAAGAAAGTTCATTCAATCATGAAATTATTTAATTAATTTTGTCATTGATTATTTTGTATTTTCTTATCCAAAATAATACTGATCCTAAACGATGTGCGTAATACCGAGTGGGTAAATTGTAACATGATATGGTGCATAACATTATTACCACAAATGTAAATTTATTCAAAATGAAACCACCAAGAGTGGAGAGTGCACAATGTACATTCTGTGAATCGGAAGAAACAATGTTACATCTGTTTTACAAATGTCAACATGTAGAGATGTTCTGGGAAAACAATTTTATGCTGTGGGGAAGGAAAATGAATCTACGGCATAGACTTAGGGATTGGCAGATTATATTAGGAGATGAATCACTTTCCTGTCTCACAAATTTCCTTGTACTGCTGGGAAAAGGACATATAAATATATATCTCGATGTAAAAAAACCAAACCAGATTTTCATGTTTACAAGCAGTTTGTGAAAACAATACAAAAAATAGAGTTGTACATTGCTAAGAGAAAAAACAAAACCAGATCCCACAATAGAAAATGGAGACAATATGTAGATAACTTCTAAGATAAAAATGAATGAACACGAAAAATAAAATAAATGGAACATTTGAATTAAAATACACTTGTTGAAATCCAAAAGAAAAACACCCAGGTCAACAAACAGAGAGACAAGAATTTATCTGTAATTATACTTCATGTAAGTTATGTAATGGTTATGTAAGTTAAGCATCCAAGAAATGTATCTTTAAAAGGAAACTCCAACAAAAAGTGATAAATACAAAAAAAACATGATATGGTGTATATATATATATGATAATTTCATGCAAATTGTTCAAAGGAGACAATATTTTCAGTTTTTTTGGAGCTGTTTCAATATTCATAGCATATTTTAACATGAGTCATGTTAATAGGTAATTTCATTGGACTCAGTTTCACATGGATTACATTGTATCTGGGAAAGCAGAAATTACGATGATGCTAATAAATATAACGAACAAGCAAAGGCCAGTTTTATTTATTCTTATTAACACAGAAATCCACACAGATATTTAGGTTATTCATAATTAACTCCTTACCCAGTTTCATAACTGCAAGCATTTTTCTAACGCTCAGATCATCATGTTGGTCAGTCTCAAAACCAAGTCTTTGAAAACTATTCACTAAGTTGGAAGCATCCACATCAGTTCCAGTTCTAATGTTCATCCCAGTTTTTTTTTCAAAGTTTTTGTTGTTGATGATGACTACTTTACCTCTTCTTGTATGCGTCATATTATAAAAAACATTATCAAACGTTTTGTGGCTTGCAGTTTCTAACGGTGTTAATTCTGTTTCCGACCTGCTACAGAAAAGGAAAAAATTAGGTATATCACCCTCTATCGTCAAAATGCAATTTTTTTATATTTTTTATATTCTGAATTCTAATCAAATATTAAAAAAACAGACAAATACTTCAAAATATTTTTTTTAAATTGATTCATTTTGCTTAATGGGCAATAGTGCATGTTGATTTTGTTATATACATTCTTTATTACAAATATTGACTGAAATGAAGCATTCTAACAAGATATCACTTGAATTTGAAGTGAGTAATTGCCTATGAGCCTGTAGTCATTGCCAAATAAAATCTAAAAAAAATACCAGGTTGAAGAATATTAGTTGCTCCTTCAAATTTCGCCAAAGCCTTACCTACATTTTACCGATATCTGCAGAATAAATCAAGAAAACTACACAAATTGATTCCATTTAGGAATTCCTAACGGTTTACCCGAACGCATGGCACAGTTGGAGGCGTGGCCTGTTCAGCATTTTGTCAACAATTGATTATAGTTCCTGGGCTCCCTGTGCTGTAACGCTGATAAATTTACAAGAACTGCAAGTCATCAATAATTATAATATCAGATGAGAATAATCTGCCAAAATCGAATATAATTTTAATTTTCAAGTTATGGACTATGCCCTTTTAAACAAATGTTATAGGTTAGGGTCAGGGTGATAGGGTTACCATGACATTTTCAAAATAAAAAAAAAATTACCCGTGAGTGATTGCATCTACCTCGCCCAGTGAGCTACCACTTGTGCCTTGACCAGCACTGGGGCCAATTTCGTTGATTCGCATTGAAGCCGTATCAGTGGTTTCTTTTTTACTTTCTTCTTTCGCAAAAGGCTCCTTGACATTTAAATCGACGATTTGTTTTGTAATATCGGAAACGCTTTCGTCACCTAGTGCCAGTGCGCTCGCCATATCTTTGTCTTGAAGTTTGTCGTTGATTCACTGCAAGTTTGTACCAATACAACTTCTAAACCTGAAACATTATACAAGAATTGCTTGTGAAATGAACACGTTGTGTGGGTTAGGCCCGGGGTTAGGGTCCACGGTTTAGGGGTCTACGTAATATCACGATCGCCAAAATATGACCCCACGGCCGTGAAACCACGCCTACGTGAAAATACCACGGTTACTAATAACCGTGAATATACCATGAACACAGCATCAGAACCAGTCCGCAAGCAGTCTCTCACGTTTAACTTTCGTTTCAAGCTGGAAGCTCGCTCGTTTTCGCTCAAAATAGAATTCTGCTTACATTCAATGGTCCTGATATTGTATTCAAGAAAACAGGGAATATTGTGCACGTAAACAAATTCAATGGCGTTCAGTGTAAAAATAATTTCCAACGCATTCTACCAGAGAAAGACACAAGGACAGAGTGGGGCTGATTCTACAACAGATTCTATTTATAGACTTGGGAATTTCCAAAACAGGCGGTGCTTTCCACGGGACAGTTGTACACCTCATACACACTTAAAAATAACTATTCATCTATCATTAAGAATTATGGTCATTCACTGATTACCAGGAGACATCAGATGACCAATCACTTGTCACAATGAAACAAAACCGATCACCAAAAAATTCATTATGTTCGAAAAACGGGGACTTATGCTTTGACCTTTGTGAGTGCGTGTGCACGTCCGTGAAGGCGTAATACGTTAGACTTGTTTTAACAAATGTTGTGCCAAAGAAACCCATATGTTCACACTGTAATATATACATCATACATCATATTGCGCATATACACATGTATTCAATTGACTATCCCATTCAAGGTGGCCGAATGGCGGCCATTTCAATGTTAAAAATTCATCGAATTCAAATCCAATCAAATTCGAATCCAGAATCGGATCTCAGTTATCAATGGATGGATTTTGTTCAAACTTGGTACAAACACTGAACAATATGCACGATGCACGTCTGTTTTTTTCCAGATCGGACTCAAAATGGCTGACTGGCGGCCATTTTTGTTTTAACGAATGCTGTTCTTGAGCTATATCTCCGACATGCCTATACCGATCATGTTTTCACATGTAGGTATTTGCATAATTCATCATGACACACGTATGTATATTTATAAATTCCGTTGACCGTTGTGTTTTTAAAAAATCAACAAAATCAAGACTTTCTGGTATTACATTGAATTGTAATGGGACCTTAATGCACACCACTTTGTTTGTCAGATAGGACTCCAAACGGCCAACTAGTGGAAGTTAGTGGTTTCAGTGAATACAGTTCTGTTGTCATAACTCTTACATGCTCTGACTTTTCATGTTCAAACTTTATATATTTCGAGTTGAGAACTCATCGGGACTTCCTTGTACTTATTAATTAATATTCACACACAAATTTCCATGAGAATAAAAGCAGTGTATTTCACGTATTTTACGTATATTTGTTGTGGCAAGAAATGGCAAGTTCACTAGTTCATCACCATATATCATATCATCGTACAACCACAGTTCTAGACAATATTGGAGTATATAAATGGCGAAGTCCAGGTTACCGCGAAAAAACAAATGAATAATATAAACATTTATTTCGCGGTAACCCGGCTATCGCCATTTACGCAGTCCCATTTTATTTCATTGAAAAAACACCAAAAATAAACAAGAGACTGTATGCAAGTCTAGACAATTTGCACAATATTGTTGGTCAATCTAGTGTTACGTAAGTTTAGTGCAATTCTACCAATTGCCATGTTAGCTGCGGTTCCGTAGCTCTTTGGTGCGACCTACAATCGAATTTCTCCCAAACAATTTCATTTGGACGTCTTCTTTTTAATTTCGTTGTTGTATGTCGCCAGAGTCTGTCACGTAAATAATGCGGTCGGCAACATAGGGCTATGATTCCACAGCTATTGTCATGCGTGGCTTATTGAACATTGAGGCATTACCATTCAAATCAGGCGATCAATATCAAAACTATAATTTCACCGAGACTTGGGAGAGATATTATTAATTAGTATATCATTAAAATTTAACTGAAACAGTTATGATCACTAACTCAAAGCGGAGTAGTCGCACGCACGAGAATTAAGTCCAAAACTATGGCAACAACGCACAATAAAAACGGAAAGGCACATGATTACCAGATGCTTGTTTGTTCAAGTTAACGACGCGCTACGGCCGTCTGCCGCAAGCGCATGTGTCGACTGCCTCGCTTAATTGTATGACGTTATTCTCAATATGCCAAACTAAAGCCGCTGTATATTTCAATTTTGTGTTTTTTCCTACCACCAAGACCGACTTAATGGTGTAATGCTAACATTTACCAATTTTCATTTTAAATTAACGATACACATCAGTCAAGCAAATTTGGAATAGAGAATAGTTTGTGTCAGTTAGGGAATAGTTCTTATGCACTTGCCCCCCCCCCTCCCCCGGGGGGGGGGAGATACATAGAACTTGCCTAATGGGGACGTGTCCCTGAAATGGGTATCTTTTTTCGGATTTTAGGTATAAGTATCGGTCTTGGCGACTTACACCCGAAGCCATTGATCATGCATCAAGCAATATCTGTCGAACATAATAAAAAAGCAACACATAGATGCCAAAATCAATAACATTGATCTAGTTTTTGGTCACTGCTAGGAGTGACTGTGCTGTGTCGTTCTAAAAACTACGAGTACCTTTGTGGATAAATTACATTTACCTAAAAAAGGACAGACATTTTGAGGATGGCCGATGAGGGCGTAAACACATACGAAATCAAAAATATTTACAATGTACTTATTACTTATATTTGCATTCAATTCACACACTTTTGTGAATCTAGTGTCTTAAATTATGCCAAAAAAGTTTTTTCAGTTAAATTTTAAATAGAGTATGCAATGCTGACGTTTTTAGTATATATCGAATATAATGAGGAAGTGTTTACACTTGTATTATGAATTTCACTGCTCGACACTATTTTTTTTTCTATAACTTTCTTACTATGACATTTTTTTTCAAACATGTCCGACATCTTGGAAAGTAGGATGTAGACCTTCTCTTGCAATACTGCAAAATTGTGACACGTCGCAACTTTACAGATTTTTATTTAATAAAAAAAGCTTATAAATAACTACAACAATAACAAGACATGAATGTCATTCCCAGTTATTTTAATTATAAAATACTCATGTTAAAATAATACATGGAACATCTGCAAACAATTGAATTAATATGTACACTATGTGGGTACAACCATGATTATCGTGGTACAACTCATCATAAAGTGATTTCCCTTAATCTAGTATTGTACTGATAACGGAAAATTTCCATTTCATAAAACCAAACAAAAACCAGACTGTGGTTCATTTCTGTTACTTGATCCAGATCAAGGTCATGACGTCACTGAAAACCCTAGCATTACAATCTAAGCTAATTATTTATTCTGAGCATGCTCAGTTGTTCTCGCAGCGTTGTTGGGAGAGGTAATTTTGGATGAAAATCATGAAAAAGACCCACTTAGGATTTTCAGATCTGGAAAAAAAAACTACGTGCATATTCATCAGAGACTTGTTCATCAACCTGCCAAGTTTCATTGATATCTATGCAGAATTTCTGAGAAAATATTGGAGATGTAAAGGAAATGTCATAGAAGGGAACCGGAAATAAGAAACTATACTTCCTTTTCAGGCTGCGCCTGCGCCACTAAAAAAATCTATACAGAATATAAATGTTCGATATGTTTAGTAATGCAACCAAATACTAACTGTATATCGCCCTCTAGAGGTGACATGTGTTAAGTGCAGTCAGTCACCTAATGTGATAATCACAGAATCTCAAACATCAGTTATATCGTACCAATGCTCATTACGATATTGTACTTGGCTCATTGTTTCACACTTCAGACAGCCGAGTATGTCACTCACTGGACGTGGAATAAATCTGTTCACAACTTTACACACCAAACCAAACAGAAATATTTTAAACCAAGATAAAAAACTACATTTGTGATATCTCTTCACAAGTTCTGAAATCTCGCAAAAATTTAAAAACTGAATAAAATAATAAAATATATAAAGTAGAAGTCAAGAATATACAAGATGCGGGTACGCAACCTTCGTGATATGCGATGAAGATCCCGATTGAACTCACCCGAATTACAAGATTATCATAAAGCAGAATGTATGCATAACAGTGCAAGACAAATGTACATAAAATTAAGCGAGTCTGTGAAAGCACTTGATGTTCGTCTTGATCATTTTGACTACTGCAAAATCATTTATTTTCACTGACATTTAATCATTTTAATTAGATAAATTTATCAAAGAAACAATGAGTTTTATTCTTATTTCACATGTTCATGTCGATTTAATTTAGTGGATTTTACTTATCAGCGAAAATAAAGCCCAGTGAATAATTGATGCATTCACAGTACTGTCTTTACTTTTTGATACAGCATGTAATAAGTATGTTTTGCATTTTATATGATTATTAAGCAATTCTGTTTTTCGAAATCAAACCATTTGCAAGCGACCATTGCGCATATCACGGCAATCTAAGTTGCATACTCTTACCTTATAAATCTTTGCTAGAGTATTAGTTCTAGATCCATTAGAAGTGCATTTGGTATCTAAGGTGCACCAACCACAAATATATATTTACTCTAACGAGTCATTAACATAATATTATAGAAAAAAACACAGTAATACAAATGAATTTACAACCTATATATTGGAAACGAGGATTAAATAAAATTAAATAATATTAATATTAATGATAAAAAAAGCATGTAAATAGGATTGTTGAAATTGCACAAGATAATATTTTGTATGGATACTGCTGCCTAGGCAACCTATATGTATTTGCACAATAAAGGTCAGATGCACCACATTCACATTTTGAAACTTACAATTTCACACTTCACACAACAAAGTAACAAAAAGAATGTACATTGTAGCAATACCTTTGATGTCCAAGAAAGCGGAACAGTTAAACAACTGTACTCCACAAGAAAATGATGTAATTCCTGTCTATAGTGATATACAGAACTGATAAAACTTATAATAAAGCACCAACTATACTTTCCCCACAAATTTTTTTTTACATCACTCATTTTCTTTACACCTTCATATAGGCATGAATTTTTGTTTATATAAAAATATTTATAAGTTTAGTTTCAAATGCAATTTAAAACTTAAAGGGCAGTGGTCGCCGTGCAACGCGTGCTTGAATTTCATGTAAACAATGTATTTTACATGCATTGTGTACGCCGCTATGAGTCCCATATTGAACTGGACGCAGCGTGATGGCCACCATACTTTAGCCAATCACAAGGTAGTAGGGAGAGCCGGCGGCAGCTTTTTTTGACTGTGGGGGCAAAGATTTGATGTGAATGTCAACAAATCGAGCGCCGAAAGCCTGACCTTTCTTGGGGGGTCTGGGTGCATGGTCCCCCGGGAAAATTTTGAAATCTAGACCCTCTGAAACGCTGTTTCCTGCATTTTGGGGAGCAAATTTTGATGGTACACTTAGGTGACAAATATAGATGAGTGTTTCACCTTATCTTATCGTGGGGGTGACACCCCCATGGTGCCATCGCAACTGGTAGATATGCATACTGCTTGTATATATCTTTCATACGCATGGTAGTAAATTGGCCAATTATTGTAAGAAAACAGCAAAGCATTCTGGGTAATGGACCATACAATATGGCTTCTATAGCTAATGAAATCCTCATCACTGGAGTTGATTGTAGTGGAAGATTTCCAGGTAAACGATTAGTAAATAATTGAAAGACTTCCATAAAAAACTGTCATGCCTATATGAAATGGTGTGCATATTTTCTGAAAACTTTACAGATTTAAAATAATATTATTAAAATAATTAATAATTGTAATATATTTTTATAATAATTATGTCCACATACATGACCAATGTTATCATATATCAACATTTTTATATGATTTTTACGTTTCAAAGTATTTTTTTTATTGGCAGCTGATATACTTTGTGAAAATCAAATTATAAAGTTATCACCCTGTTGGCATCACCTGCAGTATAAGACCTCACAAAAAAAAAACACCATACATTGTTCATGTTATTTTTTGTACGCTCTGATTATCTACCCAATTACAGGAAAATGAGTTATTGCTGGAGAATTTCAAAAGATTAGTTTTCTAGAAGACATGGAAATAATTACCATATATTAATAGAACATCATACTCAGGGATTTCATTGTAGGTTAGATAGCTGTCAACTTGGCTTATTCAGTCGGCTTCTTTGTATTCTGAAAAATCACATTTTCTCATTTTGGTATCCTACAATCTAAATCTATCTGCCTACTCTAGAACTTAGAGACAGCCCCGACAACTACTTTGCCCAATTACAGTGAACTTCACACTGTAGTGTTACAATGGCACTTCTGGTTACAGAGTAAAGAACAATAGTTCTACTGAAAGTACTGATAATTTTACTCAATTCAATAATTCTAGTTTTTTTCTGTGGTATGTACGTGTACACAGAACTTTTTAAAAAAACATCAAATTTTTGCTCTCCAAGAGTTTATGTGTACATTTGTAAAAACACAATCTGAATGAGAGGGAGTGTCTAGGTAAGAAGGGGGTACATATAATGCTGGTTGCTGTGTTTAGTTGACCAATCTCATGGAATTTATTCTGTTTTTCCTCGATAAACTCCTTCTTGTCCAAATTGCTGTTGTTCCATCTTGCCACAAGGCAGGTACCAACACTGATTACATAACATCTACAGGTAAATATTTCTTCGAAAAAGGATGTATTTCTTACGTTTTATGGACACCTCATCTCTCAAAGATAAACTGGATAAATATAGCAATAAAAATAACATAATAAACATAAAATGAAGAGATAAAACCATTTGGCGCCTTCATGGGCTGAACAACTGAATGGATACCACGAGCAGATCACTGTCACATACTCAAAAGATAGACTTCTTTAAGATGGTTACTGAGATTTTTTGGGGAAATACAAATCCTTAGTCAGCATAGAGACAATACAAGGTATTTGTTTCTTTTGATTCATAAAATCTTGGGTAGTATTGGATTCAAATTCATAGGCAACCATCCGGTTCACTCTGGTCATCATTCGTAATATATCCAGAGTGTCACCGTACTCGTTTAACGCCCGACAAAGTGCCTGTATGAACCATGAACCATTAGTTGGATTCCTCCACGAATAGAACCCTAGAAAAAACAAACAAAACAATAGTCAGCATCAATGGAAGGCAAGTTATTGTTTTGCTTTTTTTACAGTTTCAGCCATGTATCATTGTTATTTGGAGATACGACACTAAGTTACCATGGAGATACAACACAAATGTTCCCATGACAATGGGACACAAAAGTTAAAAAGGTAAAGCAACACTTATGTGAGTAATGGAACACTATGTTACTACAGTGAAGTGAAGATATCTAATGTTACCATGGTGATGTGGTACTAAAATTACCATGAGAATATGACACTAATGTTACCATGGTGATGAGACATTAATGTTAGCATGGTGATGTGACACTGATATGTCCATGATGTTACACTAATATTACCATGGTGATGGAACAGTAATATTGACACAAATGTTATCATAGGAATGTAACATTATTATTACCATGGCAATGTGACACTAATGTTACCACAGTAATGTGACACTAATGTTACCACAGAAATGTGACACAAATGTTACCACAGTGATGTGACATAAATATTACCATGGTGATGTAACACTGTTACCATGGTGACATTATCATCAAATAACCTAATAAAAAGAATACTAAAATGTAAATGTTTTAATGGTGTAAAATAAAGCATTATTTTATTCTATTAATGGTATATATGACATTCAACATATTTTAGGAAAATCTTGTACTCCAGTTCAGTTCAAGGTAATTTTTCAGGGTTTTGTGCCTTACCTGGTACAGTGGAGTAAGCCAAAAGAAAATCTGCAGAAACAGGAATGCGCTGTTGTCGGCCTCCATCCATTTCATCAGCCCCATTGTTCTTGAGTACAGCCCCATCGTCAAATTTATCACCACGACATGCCTAGTAAAATGTAAAGTTAGGAATTTAAACAATTTTTAGGGGGAAATGATCAACTGATATGAACTGTTGATATATAAAAATTGTGGTAAATCTAATTATTTTTTAGCTCGGATTAATTTTTGCTGAAAAGACTTTTTGGGTGTTTTGTATGGAATACAAAAAATAGGCCAATGGTCTGTTGCTCAACGGCTATTGTACAAAAGATTAGTGCTGTATATGACAAATACTCCAAAAGGCAGTGAGTGAGACAATAAAACATTATGCTAAAAGTGGAATTTTTTACAAAAATAACAGAAATATTCAATAAAATTAGAATCAAAGAGAGCTTAAAAAGAACTCCAGCATGTTGAGAGAATAACATACATGTATATACCAAATTTTGTTGAAATATGTTGAATGCTTCTTGAAATAGCACCCAAATGGCTTGAATTTCACTAGCTGATATGCAAATTAGATAATTTGCATAAATTTCCACCAAAAACTAAATATATCTGAAAACTGTCCCAACACATCTATGCACCAAGTTTTATTAAAACATATTAAATGGTTCTCAAGATATCACCAAAATAGCTTAAATATTGGTATGTAAATCAGGCAATTTGCATAATTTTCCATACACATGTGTCTATACACATTTAAATATGTTGAGTGGTTATGTTTTCATTACAATCACAATAGACAATCAACAAAGTTGTCAATGGAATAATAAACACATGTATGCCTAACACCAAAGCATTGGAAATAGTGGCTAGTTGAAATTCCATTTTTAACCAAAAATGACAAAAATATTTGCCAAAATTAGAGAATTAAAGATATGGTCATGGGATGAACAAATCTAGTAGATGTCAACACAAGGTACATACACACCAAGTATCAAAGCATTCAGGCTACCAGTTTTGAAGAAGTCGAAAATAGAATTTTTGACCAAAAATGACCATTTTAAAATATTCGCCAAAATTAGGAAATTGAAAAATTTCCTTACCAAATTAACAAAACTGATAGAGGACAACCCAAGGCACATGCACTATCAATATCAGCACTGTAGACCACTTAGTGTCATAGTAGCATAGAAGAAATTTTAGAGTTTTGGGGGG